TTTGAACGCCCGCTGGTACCGCTGCACGCGCACCAAGTTTTGTTGCAGCTCCCGCTCACGCCATTCGGTGGGAAGGAACTCTGGAAACTGAATTCTGAGCAAACTGCTGATTTCATCAGTATTCTTTTACATCTTTTTTTAAGTTTAAATGTCTGCTGTCACAACAGACCCCCATCCAAGAGCCGAGATAAGTACACAGAGAAATATATATGTGGAGGAAAATCATTATTACTGATGCCTTGACTTGGAGAAAAAATAAATTTAGATGCCTGGAAGCAAACTTGCTCATGATGTTGCAGCTTTCAGAGATCAGATCAGGACAGGGACAAGAAAAAGAGTTCCACACCTCACATCATCCTGCCAAAACAGAGCAGTAACCCAAATCTGCACGTAAAACAAATACAAGCAGAACAGAACAGCCCAGACACGGGGATGCTGGGGACGAGGCAGCTCACCTTGGACCACTCCACGATGCAGTCCAAGCAGAAGTAGTGGGAGCAGTTCTCGGGCGTGCCAACGACCTGATCCCGAAACGTATGGAGGCAAATGGGGCAGTTTTCACCGTCCTCGTCGGAGGAGACGCTCGCTCGTTTGGCGCGGGGCTCTAATTGCAGCGAATCGGCCGCCCCCACCGCGCTGGACTCGGTTTCTTCCTCCTCTTCTTCGTCGTCGTCTTCGCCATCTGTAAAAGCAAAAGGTGAAAAGTGACTCCGGCGTGGCACGGGGCAGCAAGGATAGGGTAAGCACGGTACAGAAAATTCCAAATTGAGCTTATTTTTAGGGGGCTGCAAGGGAAAAGCACGGCCTCCCCGGTTTGAGGTGATAATTTCTGCCATTTTCTTTTTTTCTCCCCCTAAGTCTCTTCACTAAAAAGCGACGGATTACTCTGGCGAGTAAATAAAGCCTGATAATGTGACTGGTCTTGCAAGAGATTAAAAGGACAGCAAAAAACCAAGAGATTATCGAAAGAACAAGAGAGTAGGGGATGTCGGGCTACCACTGAAGTTTATTTAAATAAAGTTATCACATACTCAACGTTTTTTTTTTTTAAACAGACACTCCAGAGGACCGGCAGCAGCAACGCGCTCAGAACGGATTCAAGACTGCACCAGTAAATCAGGATTTTGAGGGTCAAGGGATCAGGGTGCCTAGCTGGAGACTGATTCAAGGAGCTTGGTTTTGAGCAAGATTAAATTTTAAACACTCAGCACACATTGTTGAAAACTGGGTTTATTTGTATTAGTCCTTCTCTGAAACCTGTGAATTAAGCTGATGTTTTCAAGAAGCGACTGAAAACACGCTCTCCCTTTGTTTTTGAGGGAGGACAAGGACAGGAGAAGGGGTAGCTGTTTTGTTGATTTATTTATTTTTTTAAAAATAAAAAAAATAGGGCCCTTCTCTTTCATCTTTTCTACTGAATTATCCTGCCTGGACACAGAGAACACTCCAAACAATGGATTAAATAAAGCTTTTTGACACCTGGCACCCACTTTTTAGTCTGTGTTCAAATCAGTCTAATTAGTAACTTGGAAAACTGTGTCCTTGCCTTTAAGATATGATCCAAAAATAAATAAATAAATCTACTTCTGTCTCTCCCAACAATAATTTGAGTGCAGCAGTTTCAGAAGCAGGCGAGTCTACAGAGTATGCTTTCGGGAACATTAACAAACCCAAAGGAAAATTAACAAACCCAAGTTACATCCACACTGGGTTGGTTTTTTTCAAAGAAAAATCAGTCAGTTCTCCTTCCCTCCTCCCTCGGCTTAACAGCAACAGTCATTTATTTCCCAAACTCCCCAGCACTACATTTATTTCAGAGCCCCACACCAAAGCAAACAAATAAACACGCTTTAAAAACAAAATAGCTTGAGCAGCTGCTGCAATTTTGACTTGGTTTCTACTCGTGCCGGGGCAGAGTTCGCTCCTACTGACCGTAAGGGCTTGTTGGCTGGCGAGTAGCCTTCAAACATCCAACAGCTTTAAGACCTGAGAAACTGAGGAATATTACTTGGTTGTTACCGCAGGATTTGGGCGTTGGCCTGACACAGCAGTGTTGGTGAGTTTATATCTTGTGGTTAGTTTGTAGGGGAAAAGCTTTTATCCTGCTCTCCCTTCCATTATTACAAAAACGCCCGTTAGCAGACCCACCTTCTAATTCTTCATCTTCACTTTCCTCCTTGTCCTCCTCACCTCCCTCTTCCACAGTGTCATCTTCCTCCTCCTCGCTTCCAGTATCATCTTCTGACTCACAGCTATTGCCATCATCGCTTTCTTAAAAAAAAAAGAAAGAGAACCTGAGAGGAAACACCCATTCGGGGCAGCCGGACAGGCGGGACAGCGAAGGGAACACCAGAAACGAAACCCTAAATTCTCCCCAGTGGCATCATTCCAAAAAACTCAACGGGAGATACAGGATTGAGGAAGCAAATAAAAAAAAGTATTCTGCAGGTAAAAAGAACACGGAGGTCTCAAACACATCCTTACTGCTCTTTGGAGGCTCAGCCAACAGGACCTCCAGCCTAGAATGAGAAAATCACGAGCGGAGGCGCCGCCTTTACCTGTTTCGCTGAGGAACGCAAGGCTCTGCCTCCTGCCCCTGCCCAGCGCCGCGTTCTTGTTGATCAGCTCGTCCTGGCTGTCATCATCCATGGCAGGACATCGGGAAGTCGCTGCCCTGCAAGGAAAGAGGGAGCGCGCCGTGAGGCCAGGCGGCGTTTGGGCACCCAGCGATCGGCAGGAGGGACGTCGCTCGTCAGCAATGGCTTTCCCGGAGAAGCGGTTACGGGAAGTGTCGCGTCGCCGCTGAGCGAGATCGTAAAATCGCAAAGGTTGGAAAAGACCTCGAAGATCAGCAGGTCTAACCCAACGCCACCACGACCACTCAGCTGTATCCCCAAGTGCCACATCTACGTGCAAAAAAACAGAAGTGGTGGCTTGCGAAACGCAGCACAGGGGAAAAAGTCGGCTTTATCTTGGGCTCCTGGATGATGGGACATATATATTTTATATATACATTATAAGCAGAACTCCCTGCTGAAAATAAGATGGAAAACCTGCAAATGCCAAACCCTTCCTGGACCAGCTAGAAAATACAAAACAAACAGAGCTGAGGGCTGCCAAAGGGGATGCCAATAGGTGTTTCAAACCAAAGGCCTCTTATTTTGCTCAACTGAAAAGAAACAAGATTACATATTTTAATTTTAATTATTACATATTTTAGTTATTACATAATACATATTTCAATTATTACTCTACTTTTTTAATTAATTTTAATTATTACCTTTTTTTTCTCTTTTTTTTTTTTAAAAAAAGGCCTTTTCATAGCTCTGGCGCAAAAGGGACAAGTCTCAGACCTCACAACCATCAGGCACCAGGACAGATGAGGGGACGTCCTGCTGGAAAGCAGCCCCGTGGAGA